TTTGGGCTTAAACGACACAGAAAAAGCATGAGATTGGTTTGGGCTTAACACCACCATAGTAAAGGGAGAGAAAGCTTAGGAGATAGATGGAGGGGGAGGCAGCAGGACTTGGTGATTCACTGAGCTTGGGGGATGACCAGAAGCTGATGGTGCAGTGGTAACAGTTGCAAGCTCTGAAAGGGGAGGAGCTGATTGGAGGGGAGAGAAGACTTAGTTTGTGTTGCCTGTGGGTTACCCCGTTCCAGCCTATCTGCCCTCTTAAGTTCACAGTGTGCCTGCGTCGGGAAGGGCAGACTGTGTACCAACAAGTCCTGTCCCTGGAGCGCCCAAGTGTCCTGCGCAGCTGGAACTGGGGCCTGTGTGGGTACTTTGCTTTCTACCACGCCCTCTATCCCCGAGCCTGGACTGTCTATCAGCTTCCTGGCCAGAATGTCACCCTCACCTGTCGTCAGATCACACCCATCTTGCCCCATGACTACCAGGTGAGACCCCCACATCTGTATCTTCCATTGCCCTCCCTTCCCCAGGACCTGCTTCTGCTAGAAACTGCATGGCCTGTGAAAGGGAGGTTGGAGCCATGAGCATCACGCTGGCTTCCCAGAACCACCGCCCAATTGGTTCTGGTCTTCTGTGTCCCCTGGTAGGCTGCTTGCCTGGGAATACGGGGAGACGCAAGTGGACAAAAAGAGTACGCTGGGGAGTATTTGAGTCAGGTCCCTGGTGCGCCCAGGACCGATCCTAAGAGAGTGGGGTCAGGAGGGGCTCTATGGGACTGTCTGAGTCTAACCTTCTGCCCCCAGGACAGCAGCCTGCCTGTAGGAGTCTTTGTGTGGGATGTGGAAAATGAAGGGGACGAAGATCTAGATGTGTCCATCATGTTTTCCATGCGGAATGGACTGGGGGGTGGAGACGATGCCCCAGGGGGTTTGTGGAATGAGCCCTTCCATCTGGAGCGTGATGGGAAAACTGTCCAGGGGCTGCTGTTGCATCATCCAACCCTTCCAAACCCCTACACAATGGCTGTGGCTGCACGAGTCACGGTAAGGAAAGAGCCTGCCCTATACCTTAGCCCCTGAATCCCACTCTTAGCCTAGCCCCTGTACCACCTCCACCCCAGAATGGTCACTTCATTCACCCTCATCATAGCCTGTAAGCCCCTGGGGCCTGGGAGGTGAGGGTAAGTAAGAGGAGCGGGGGAGCTAGCCGGGATTCAGTGTACTTGTAGAGCCTGCCCTTACAGTCCCTGGCCCCTTCACAGGCAGATACCACGGTAACCCACATCACAGCCTTTGACCCTGACGGCACGGGGCAGCAGGTGTGGCAGGATCTACTTCAGGATGGACAGCTGGATTCTCCCGCTGGTGATGGGGGGGTCTGACTGGGAGATGGTGGGAAGAGAGGTTGTCCCTGTCTTGGGACCAGGGGTGGGAGGCCTGTTAATGAGTAGGCCTTGTTTCCATGTTATGGATCCCTATCCCTGGGGCTGAAGTGGCTCCTGTCCTGAATCCTCTTGTGCTTCTCTCAGGCCAAAGCACCCCCACGCAGAAAGGAGTAGGTGTTGCTGGAGCTGTGTGTGTTTCCAGCAAGTTGCGACCTCGAGGCCAGTGCCGCCTGGAGTTTTCACTGGCTTGGGACATGCCCAGGATCATGTTTGGAGCTAAAGGCCAAGTCCACTACAGGTGAGGGGACCAAGAAAGTATAAGGATCCAAGGCACTGGGGCTCTGACCTGGGGCTTGTGTTCATCCATTTTTTTTCTACCCCAGGCGGTATACAAGGTTCTTTGGCCAGGATGGAGATGCAGCACCTGCCCTCAGCCACTATGCACTGTGCCAATACACAGAGTGGGAAGAGAGGATCTCAGCTTGGCAGAACCCAGTACTGGATGACAGGTGCCAGTGGGGCCCATCGCTTTCCTTTCTCCTAGGCACTCACTCCAAATGGGACTCCTCGATTCACTCTCCACCCACCAAAGTCAGTAAACTTACACGGGGATTCATTTGGTGCTACCACTCTGCTGAACCCCAAAATCCTTTCTGTCTTGGGAGGTACATGTTCCTTAAGCCATTTCCTCCCCCTCACTCCCCAGATTGTTGCCTGCCTGGTACAAATCTGCACTGTTTAATGAACTGTATTTCCTGGCCGATGGAGGCACAGTATGGCTGGAAGTTCGTGAGGACTCCCTACCACAGGAGCTGGATGGGAACATGTGTCACCTCCGCCCCACTCTACGGGATTACGGTCGATTTGGCTACCTTGAGGGTACAGGATGCTGGTGGGCTAGGATATGGCAGGCCATCCCCAAGGCAGGATGATGGATTTGCCTACCTCAGGGTATTGGTTAGGGTGAGGGGGTAAGTGACAGCGTCCCACCTCCAACTCTAGAGGACAAGGTAGAGAGGAGTTTGAAGGGGAAGCGGGAATTCTAGCAACAGAACTTGTCTCATTCATTCCTCCAGGCCAGGAGTACCGCATGTACAACACATATGATGTTCATTTTTATGCTTCCTTTGCCCTCATCATGCTCTGGCCCAAACTTGAGCTCAGCCTACAGTATGACATGGGTGAGGGTCCCTTTTGTGCCACTTCTGCCCTCTTGGCTGCCCATACCCTTGAACCTCTGTGATATCTCAGATTGTCTCTTCTTTCCCTTCCCTTCAAACCTATCTGCATGCTGCTTACTGGTTCCTCACTGGGGTCACACACATAGCTAAAGCCTGCCCATTCCCTGCCTCCATTGTGTATCTGCTCCCCTAGCTCTGGCCACTCTCAGGGAGGACCTGACACGGCGACGGTATCTGATGAGTGGGGTGATGGCACCTGTGAAAAGGAGGAACGTCATCCCCCATGATATTGGGGACCCAGGTAAAAGTCCACCACAAGGTCAGCTTCCCTCCCTCAACTTTTGCACCCTCTACCCTACTGACCAATGCAAATGACCCAGGTCCCCTCCTTTCCCACAGATGATGAACCATGGCTCCGGGTCAATGCATATTTGATCCATGATACTGCTGACTGGAAGGACCTGAACCTGAAGTTTGTGCTGCAGGTTTATCGGGACTATTACCTGACGGGTGATCAAAACTTCCTGAAGGACATGTGGCCTGTGTGTCTAGTAAGGGATGCACATGCAGTGGCTAGTGTGCCAGGGGTGTGGCTCGTGTTTGGGAACAACCTAGCTGGTTGTTACCTTTCCTCAGTACCTAGATCTTCAGTATCTTGGTCCCTCTCTAGGCTGTGATGGAATCTGAAATGAAGTTTGACAAGGACCATGATGGACTCATTGAAAATGGAGGCTATGCAGACCAGACCTATGATGGATGGGTGACCACTGGCCCCAGGTTAGCGGGTAGGGGTTTCCAGGAAGCCTGAGGTGGGAAACGGGCACCAAGGGATTGTAGGGCTCAAGAAAGAATGACTCATTCTTTGAGTCATCTCACTGCATGAGAGCTGCTGAAGCTGTCATTCTGACCCCCAAACCCATGTCCCTCATCAGTGCTTACTGTGGAGGGCTGTGGCTGGCAGCTGTGGCTGTGATGGTCCAGATGGCTGCTGTGTGTGGGGCACAGGACATCCAGGATAAGTTTTCTTCCATCCTCAGCCGGGGCCAAGAAGCCTATGAGAGATTGCTGTGGAATGGTGAGTTCGGGGAGCCTAAGTAGTCTTAAGGCAGCTGTGGGGACAACAGGAGCCTTATTTTGCACTTCCTTGACTCCAGGCCGCTATTACAACTATGACAGCAGCTCTCAGCCTCAGTCTCGTAGTGTTATGTCTGACCAGTGTGCTGGACAGTGGTTCCTGAAGGCCTGTGGCCTAGGAGAAGGAGACACTGAGGTGAGAGAGTGTAGGAGGAGCCAGAGAGAAAACTGGGTTTTCCCTGGAGGTGGGAATTAAGTATATGAGACCGTGTTCCTGCCCTTGTCCCTCCAGGTGTTTCCTACCCCACATGTGGTCCGTGCTCTCCAAACTATCTTTGAGCTGAATGTCCAGGCCTTTGCAGGAGGGGCCATGGGGGCTGTGAATGGGATGCAGCCCCATGGTGTCCCTGATAAATCCAGTGTGCAGTCTGATGAAGTCTGGGTGGGTGTGGTCTATGGGCTAGCAGCTACCATGATCCAAGAGGTAATGTACTCCCTTTCCCATCTCTCCACCATCTATATCCTGGCCCAGAAAACTTCCTCAGCCACCACATTTCTTCAAGATATAACCCAATGCCATCTTATCCATCCATAAAGCCTCCCATTTTTCCCTGGTATGCATTCCAGCTCCTGCCTTCAGGCTTCTGTCTGTGGGTCATAGTTATTTCCCCCACTTGCTGGGAGCTCCCTGAAGGCAAAGACTCTACTGTCTCCATCTATCTAGTGGAAGTGGCTATTCAGAGGATGCCAAGTTAGTATGTATAACTGTCATCTCTCCCAACAGGGCCTGACTTGGGAGGGCTTCCAGACAGCTGAAGGCTGCTACCGTACCGTGTGGGAGCGCCTGGGTCTGGCCTTCCAGACACCAGAGGCATACTGCCAGCAGCGAGTGTTCCGCTCACTGGCCTACATGCGGCCACTGAGCATCTGGGCCATGCAGCTAGCCCTGCAACAGCAGCAGCACAAAAAGGCCTCCAGGCCAAAAGTCAAACAGGACACAGGACTAAGGACAGGGCCTATGTTTGGACCAAAGGAGGCCATGCAAACCTGAGCCCAGAGTGAGCCCTCTGAACTGTGGGAGGGAAGCACTAACATCCCAGCCTCCAGCCTGGCCTTTCCTCCTTCCCTTCTGAACCTCCTGCAGCCCTGAGCCATCAGGACAATCATACCCTTTCCCTTCTCCCCACCCAACTGTGCCAGTAAATGGGGGTTGGGGGTAACCCAGGCAGCATTGGAATCACTTATTTATTTATTTCCTCACCCCTTCCCTCACTGTGTGAAATGTTCAGCGAGGTCAGTTGATTTCCCCAGGTACATTCATGGGGTGACAGACACATGGCTACAAATAATAAAAGACCCAGAAAGCCAGTAAATGTGGTGTATTTGAGCCCTCAGTCTTTCTGACAGGGCACAGAATCTGCAGCCAGCCCTCGCCCACCCATTTTTATTCAGACACAGATGGGGAGCCCACCAAGCTCTTGCTGAGACCCCTCCACATATCCTTGTATCTAGCCTGAGTATCTGTCCTGCAGGATGACAGAGGGGCTATAGGTAGAAAGCCTTACCCCCTTTCTTGTGAGATTTGCCTGCAGAAGGAGGATGGGATCTCGGCAGAGAGGCTCTGAGAAGAGGTCAGGGAATAGCCACTCCAGGGGACGCTCTGCCCTGAGAGCCTGAGACATGTAGTGTAGCAGGCAGGAAGAGTTGCCAGGGACCTGGAGTACATGGTCTGAGCCGTCCAGCCACTGGTGTGTGCTGTCTTTCAGCACCTCTGACTGCAGGGTAGACAGCTCCAGCTGGTAAGGGTCCTCACTGGGGAGGGCACGAAGCTGGCGGAACAACACTGAGGAGACAAAGGAGACAATCTTCAGAGGCCAACCCAGGCTCTCCCCTTGCCCATGCCTGAGAGCTATCCTTAAGCCTCTTACCTCCATGCTCAGCTGGCAGGCTCTCTCTTGTGTCAGAGGAGTACATAGCAGGTACAAGGAGGAGGCAGAAGGAGAATAGCAGGACCTAGAGCACAGGAAAAAGGAGATGAAGAAGGGCTCTGGACTGCACTGCTGTCCCTACCAACTAAGCAAAGGATTTCTCCCCTCATCACCATCCTCACCAAGACACAGGTGCTGCTGCTACTGGTTTTGTTTGATATCGCAATCACCATGGCCTGGAGTTTCCTCAGTTGATCTAGAAGGGACCTAGAGGAAAAGGGGGGCCAGTGGTGAGCATCCTCTGGCCTGGCACCCTAAGACACAATGAAATTCCTATTCAGGACACCTCCATCTCTGCACTGGATCCTCTCTCTTATTTTCATTCTATTTTTGCAAATGACTTCTTCCTCTCTGTGGACAAAGTGCCTGAAGTTCCTCGTTAAAACAAAACAAACAACAAAAAACAAAAAAACTTCTCTGCCCTGACTTAACCTCCTTTGCAAATATCATCAGTAGTTCCCCATTGTCTGATCAGCTATGCATATAATCCTCACCAGGCATTCTCTGTGTTCTCTACTTTCTGGCCCAGCTCACCTGTGTTAAGAGTTCTAGCCCAAGAGGACTATGTTGTATTCTCTCTGCCTAGAATGCTTTCCCATGGATTCCCAACTCCAGAATCCTAACTACTATCAAAGTCCATGAGGTCTTTCTTACCCTCTTTCTCTTTCTTGGTACTTATTCTTAGTTACTTATAAATGTATTCCCCCCTACTGTATTCTTAGTTACTTGTAAATGTATTCCCCACTACTATGAGCTTCTTGGAATCAGAGACCTAGTGAAGGCCAGGCACCAGACCTAGCATTTGAGAGCTGCCCAGTTAGAAATCAAGTGTAAGGCAAGGGAAAAAAAGTGAGAAGGCATTAAATGAGGGGCACAAGAAGGCAGTGGTTTGGAGGGAATCTTACAAATTCTGTTCCTCCAGAAGCTGTACTTTGTTCTGAAGCTCCATATTCTGGGCTGTGTATTTCAAGACCCTGGGGGAAATAAAGATATGGGTATATGACCTGTATCCTCCCTTCAAAAATCTAACAACTGAGTCTCTCTCCCTTTCATACCTGCTCTCTAAACCCCCAACATACACCTTCTTCTTCCTGCGGCTCTCTTGAGCAGATCTTTTATTTCGAATCTTCCTTCGCACACGTTTCAGAATTTGTTCCTCCATCTGAAAGCAAACAGGGAAAGGGATACCATGAGAGGGACTCTAGACCAAGGAGTTGAAAGGCAACTGAGATCAATCTCTTTCCAATGCAGAAATCTCTTCTACAGCTTCTCTGACCAATAGGCATTCAGTTTCTTTCTGAATGCCTCCACGGACCAGGTGTTAACCCTAACAAGCCAGACCATTTTAAACAATTAAAAAAAAAAATTGGTCAGGCAATATGCAGCCAACGTGGCTTATGCCTGTAATCCCAATACCTTAGGGAGCTAAGGCAGGAGGACTGCTTGAGCCCAGGAGTTTGAGACCAGCCTGAACAACATATTGAAATCTTGTCTCTACTAAAAATAAAAAATTAGCTGGGTGTGGTAGCACACACCTGTGGTCCCACTACTCAGGAGGCTGAGGCAGGAGGATGGCTTGAGCCTGAGAGGTCAAAGCTGTAGTGAGCCATGATCTTGCCACTATACTCCAACCTGGGCAATAAAGAAAGAACCTGTCTTTAAACAAAACTTTCTTATCCTGAACCAACAGCTGCCTCCTTATAATTTCTATCCATTAGACTTACCTAGTATTTCTGGGGCCAAATAGAATGAACTGTGTTAGCTATTTTAAGGCACTTAACATTTCCTCAGAGCTTAAAAAAAAGAAAAAAAAACTTACACAAAATTTTTAACATCATCTTAGGATAGCCTGCATCCTCTTAATATCTGTCAAAGATGGTCTCAAAATTGGACATTAAGATGTGCTCTACCCAGTATAAAGGAAAGCAAGAGAGTCACTTATAGAGGCAATAACTCTATTGCTACAGTCTCCAAATTCCATTCACTTTCCTAGTAGCCACATCACACTGCCGATTCATCTTGTACTTTGAAGAAATTAAAATTCTGCACTTTGGTAGCTCCAGGTGGGTAGATCACTTGAGCCCAGGAGTTCAAGACCAGCCTGGCAACAAGGTAAAACTCCATCTCTACTAAAAATACCAGAAAAGATTTTGCTGAGCAGGGTAGTATGCACCTGTAGTCTCAGCTACTTGGGAGGCTGAGGTGGGAGAATCACCTAAGCCCAGAAAGTCAAAGCTGCAGTTAGCCATGATCACACCACTGTACTTCAGCCTGGGCAACAGAGCAAGACCCTGTCAAAAAGAAAAAATTCCTGTAACCTTTTTATTAATGAGCACTGATTTCATCATAGTATCACAGTACTCTGCTTGTGAAGTTGCTGCTCATTGCTTAAAACTTAAAACTCAGGATTTTACATTTATTCATGTCCTGCTTAGTCCACCCCTGTTGAACTCTAAACATTTTTACCATTCAGCAAGAGGTAGACTACTATCAAGCCAATGAAGTGTCAAGGCCCTTCACTTACACAGTCCTTTCCAAGGCCCAATACTAAGTTACATTGATGATTTTTTTTTTAGGCAGAACACCAAAATTTGTATAAGTAAGCCCAACAAATACGAGTATCTGCCCTTGCATCTAGCACATTAGGTACCTGCCCCAACTTCTTATTAGCAACAAATCTGCTAATTTTCTCAACTCAATCCTTTTTTAAAGTTATTGATATAAAGTTAACAAAACTGGCCTACTTGGGACTCTTACTCCCTTTCAGCCTTTGCTCAACCAATGAGAGTCTTACCTTAGTGAGAGGAAGTGTCTCAGGCAGAATAAGCCCCTCCTTCTCCAATAGACTCTTCTCCTCATCTGTCAGTACCAACCTAACAGTCTCCTAGGGTAACAAGAAAGTGGGCAGCAGTTGCATGGGGATGTCAGAGAGGAATGGGGAATCCTGCCCCACCTGGGGAATGTGAGAGTAATCTTCCTGAAAATCAAGTCAAGTACCTGCTCTGCCATTTCCTCCACATGCTGTGTAGTCATCTGGGTCTCCTCTTTTCCAAAGCTCTCACTCTCTGCAAAAGGGAAAGTATGAATAGCCAGGCCCATGAATCCTCTCCTCCCAGCAAACTTACTTCAGACTCACCTAGATCAACAGAGACAGCTTCCTGTGGGAGGGAGTAGGTGTGGTCGTGGTGGACAAGGCAGGGGTTGGAGGAGCTGAGAACGTTCAACGATGCTGGGGGACTCAGCAGTGAGCTCAGCAAATCATCTAACTCCCAGTCACTCGGTACCTGCGCAGGGTTCCAATGAACAGGCCTTGACCTATAACCATCACCTGACCTCATGGACATCCCACGCTTTCCCCAGTCGCAATCCCAACCCACCTCAGAAAGCAGCAGCTCCCAGTCCAGTGGGGCCCTGATGGCCTCGTGCGCCGTCCCCAAATCTCCACTTGCCTCTAGCAGGAAGCCCAGCAGGTCTTCGTCACCAGGATCCAATTCTAGCTCCATTTGAGACATCTACGTAAAGGGTGGGCCACGGGGCCCCAACGTCCGAAGCCCAGACACGAGTCCCAGATCAGCTGTCGGCCTTTGGCACTTTTCCACCGCCCCTCTACGGCCGGGCTTCCCCGCCGGGGCTATCCGTAGCCCTCTCCGGACCCACCTCCCAGGCTCAATTCTCCTCAGCCTCCAACACAGCGAAAGTGACGCACCCGGCCCCGTGGCATTCTGGGACTTGGAGTTCTCTCCAACTGGAAGGCGGCCTGGGTGCCGCGCCACGTCCCAAGGGCTATGCAAATACAGGGGACGGCCCTGCCGTCGCCTCGCACCCCGAGGGCGGAGGCTCCGGGGCTCCGGCTCCGCCTTCTCCCCCAGGCTGGAAAAATTAAGAGTTCAGGCCTAAAAGGAAGCTCAGGCGTCATCCGGGCGTCGTCTCAGCATTGCGCCGTACCCTCGCTTCCTGCCGGGGAGTGGCTGCCGGGCTTCGGCGGCTCCTGAGCATCGAGACCGGGGCCAGAGCAGCTTCCTGCCGGCCCCACGACCATAGAGCGCGAGCCCAGGGCGCCGCCCGCGGGTGGGGGACGTTCCTGGGACGGAAGTGGCCGAGGGAGTGTCGAAGGGAAGGCGAGGCCGGAGCCAGAGGGCGACCCGAGAAGCCTCAGGGCTGCGGGCCGGCGGGCAGGGCGCAGAGCCAGGCAGCGCAGGTAGGTTGGACCGGACCGGGCTGGGCCGGGCGGGGGCCTTAGGGTGGGGCCGCGGAACCTGGCCCTGGTGGCGGGCAGGCGGGGCCCTGCCTCTCCTTCGTGTCCGGTTCGGGTCCTATTAGTAGGAGAGGTCAGGGTCCAGCGCATCTCGACCTGGGCTTGGCGTGAAGTAGGCCGTCTTAGGGGAGACAGACCTTTCCTCGGAGCAGTCCTCTGCCTGGGATAGGCGTTGGGGAGCGTGAGGAGTCGGGTGGCAGCGGGGCGCAGGGCGGGGACGGGCTTTGGTGTTAGCTGATAGCGGGCATGTGGGTAGGAAAGCTTTGGGTGAGTTGCAGATTAGGTGGGATCGGTTTAGGAATGAGGGGTCGCTGTAGGAGTTAAAAGCTGGAGTTAAAACTTGAGTCAGTGTGAGTCAGGTCCGTTTTGGATAGGTAAGGTTTAGATTAAGGTCATTATTTTGTTTACTGGCATGGCCAGCATTCGTCATAATTTGAGTTCAGGATCGGGTTAAGGGTCAACAACAGGAATCAGGTTAGAAATCTGTTTGGGGGATTAAAGAACGTTGGCATGCTCACTATTAAGAATAAACAGTGAAAGGGTGAGTTAGGAATCAGTTTACAAATGAACTTTAGGCTTTGGGGTCAACATTTAGGGTTAACATCAGGGGATTTGGTGCTAAAGGTAAAACGTAGATCAGTGTTAGGGTTCAGGGATTGAATATGGGTCTTTGCTAGGAAAGAGATGAATGTCCAAGCCAGTACTGGGAATCAGAAAACAAATTAGAGGTGGGGTTAGTATTAGGAATTTGAGGCAGCTTTAGGGGTTGTGGTTTGAGGCTAGCATAGTTGACCTTGAGCAGATAAAATTTAAGAGGTTGGCAGTAGGTAAATGCCCTTCTTTTGTAGGGAAGTTCTTTATTCCTATGTAGTTACAGGGGCTTCTTTACACCCAGAGAGATGACGAACTAATTTCAGGGTAGCGTTCTGGCTTCAGCTAGAATTGTAGGCATCTGGGATTCCAGCTTCTGTATTCCATTCTTTAAGTTCAAGCCTCTTGCTGTGGCCACCACTTAGGGTACAGAGATTCTGGACTGTGTTGTTTACAGGATTGGTGGGAAATCGGGACCCAGGATGAACAAGGCCTAGTCACAAGTTGGGGACTGCCTAGGGAAGAAGGAGCTAGTGACTATGGGGAAGGCAGACCAAGGAAACACTATTGCCATCAGAGAAAGGGGTAACTGAATCCCCTGAAAGTTTAGCCCAACTGCCTCCCACTTCACTTGTTCTCTAGGTATTAAGCCCACCTCTCCAACTCTCATCCCTGACTCTGCATTTCACACTTGTCCTACCTGCCCACTTACAAAATACTTCCTTTGCCTCTAACTCTCCCATGTTCATCTTACCTGTTCCCATCCTCAGTTCTGCCTCCCTTCCCAACCCTTAGTCCACACATCCTCCCTGAATTTACCCTCATCATAATCTGAGCTTTCCCATCAATTTAAATTACTCTCCTACCATTTTCACCCAGTCCTGTACCTACTTTCCACCTGGTTATCTGCTGAATACCCTACTCCCTGCTGTGTGCCATCCCCTAGATCTAAGGCTCTTTTAATTTATTGGTCCATTTATAGATCCCCCTCCCCCACTCCCCAGCAGAAAAGAGGAAATGAGACCCAAAGAGGAAACTGGGTCTTGCTGATCCCACGCCCAGCCAGGCCACTGACCACACCCCCATTTCACTCCCATCCTGACCCTGCCACTGACCACAGCACTATCCTCTACTCAGCCTGACCCAGCCACTGCCTGTACCCAATCCCCCACTCCAGTTCCAGCTTTACTTAGACATTTCCAATGCCCCTTCACTTTCACATCCCCACCCCAGCCTAATTTAGCTACTGACCACAGGCCAGTCTCTTCTTAACCTCCTGTAGCCTGAGCTGGCCTCTGACCTTAACCCATCATTCTCTGACTTAGCCACCATCCATGTAATCATTCCTTCCCTTCCCCCAGCCTGATCCAATGACTCGTCATATATGTGTTTTTCCCAACACCATCATCACCAGCATTCTCCCATCCTTTTTCTACACCCTGTCTTCCAGGGTGTAGAAGCCTGCATTCCCAGCCTGTGCAGTTGCTAACCCCACCCCATCTGTCCCTAGTGGCTGCTAAGCATATACCCATCCCCTTTTTCCCATAGCCCAAACACATCCCCTAACCACTGCCTCATCCTTACGTGCTCTGCCCAACCTGATTCTTTCACCTCTTCCCAGTTCCTCACCTAAACTTAGGCTACCCCAGCCACTGACTCGTCTGTCAATGATAGGAGGCTATGGGTCCCTAACCTGACTACCTTAGTAGTTATGAGGTCCTGTCAATTCTACCTCCCCAAATTTCTTCTGAGTGACATCTTCCTCAATGCCATTCTAAACTCTGGCTTCATTACCTTTAATTTGCACTAATACAGTTTCTTTCTAACTAATCTTCAAGGTAGCTGCTAGAGTTATTTTTCTAAAATCCAGTTCTGGTTGTGTCTCATCTCTCCTCAAGACTTGGCCTCCTCTTGCCTTCTAGTAAGTAAAATTCCTCATATCCCTCTCTAGCCTTCCTCTGCCTTTCCATCCTAACCCCGACTTCACCACTGCTCCCTTGCAGGTATACTGTGCTTCAACCAGCCTGCTTGCTCACTTCCCTGAATGCTCCTCCACGATTTCCTGCTTCTCCGTCTTTGCTTATGCTATTTCTCTGCCTAGAGTGAAAGCTACCCCTGACACAACTCCAGCTGACCGGTGTAGTGGAGAGAGCTTGGGCTTTGCAGTCAGAAAGACTTGGGTTTGGATCCTGGCTTCACAACTTATTATTTGGAGAAGTATTGAAGAAGTATTTAACTTCTTTGAGCCTGCTTTCTGATCTGTAAAAATGGAAATAATGACACCTACTATAAGGATTAAATAAAGTTATGTGTGCAATGCAGGTGGCATAGTCAATAAATGACAGATCACTATTATTTTTATTATTATTTATTTAATTATCTCTATTTGTTAAAATTCTAACTTCAAATGACATCTATCATGGTGACTTTTTGGTTCCCCTTCCCTAACTTAAAGGAATCTCTCCTCTGAGCACACACCTTTTGACTCTTACCACATCCAGCCCTCTGTTGTGATTCTGTACTTGACTTACAGACTCATCTCGTGGACTGGGAGCCCTTTGAAGGCAAAGACTAGGTCTTACTGATCTTGGTCCCCAGCCACTAAAAGTTTGGCCCAGAGTCTTCCCCACAACTGGCCCCAAAGGTATGCTTGCTGGGTGAATAGAGAATGTCTACATAATGGGAGGAGAGATGCTGGATGTGGGGTATGCTTGTTATGGAGGTTACCTGTGTGAAAGCTGTGGGCATAGGATGCGCTCCCTATGAGAAGATAATGCAGTCCCGATGGGATCTGTGTAGGGGCTGTGTGATGGAGACAGTGTGTATGTAGACAGTAAGGTAGCTTTGTGGGAAAGAGCTCTGTATAGGTTGGGGTATATTTGGAGAGAATGAGTGTACATGTGGGTATGGAGGGACTGTGCTGGGGGAATTTCCGTGCAGCCCTTCAACTAGCTGCCCAGTCCAGCTTTAAATGAGCCTCCAGCAGCCTAAGGCCGGATACGTCAGTCTCACCCACATCCCTCCCCCCTTGCCAGTGGTTGCGGACTCAGAGGCCAAATTTGGTAACAGACTGAGTGTTACTCCCCCATCCCTCTTATAATCTGACTGTCTTAGGCGCTTTCCTTTTGTCCCTCTCTGTAACTCCCTATCTTTCTGCAGTTCCCTTTGTGGGTATCTGCTCTGACTATATTCTCCAAGTACCCCAAATTCCTTAGCCCCAATACCCTTACATTCCATTCCTTGCTGGGATTTGACCTCCTGTCCTCCATTCCCCCCCTCCAATTGCCCAACTCCTTTGGAATGCATCTCAGGAATGTACTGAGGGAGGAGGAGTTCCCTGGGAGGGGGTCACCATGGTGGAGGAGTTGCTGTTCTATAAAACGTGACTGAAAGGGGAGCAAAGTTCTCAGGCCAGAGCAGGAACCAGCTAGCTTCTACTCATACTTCCAGTGGCCTTGTTCTTTGCCACTACCACCACCCACAAATTCACTGAACAGTTCTTTGCCTCCACTCACCCTCTTGTAGCTATGTGAATGTCCACTGTGGACCAGCCAGGGAGTAAGGGTAGGCATGACTCAGCTCCCTTATCAGGGTCTCACCAGAGGCTTCTGTGCTTGAGGAAGAAGGGGTGTCTAAATGTCCGGAGGAAATTGGGGGAGACATGCAATTTCAGCTTAGAGTGAAGGGTTCTTTCAGTCCTCCTCCTCAGCTTGTCGGACTCCTCCAGCTTCTCAGATCTTCAGC